GTATTGTATGAAGTTTTGTGGGGAATAAGAGCCATCTCTGAATTCTCTTCAATTCCATTTCCTCAGATTTTGCCAACGCTGATTCGTATAATGGAGTGGTCCTTATTCCTGTCCACACGTTTTCGGAAGTTTTAACATTTAAATTCATCCCCTTGTTTTTGTTCCTATGTAACTGGGGCACTCATGTTTTCAATATTTCTGCACAAAATTGAGATTAAAGTTTATTTTTTACCATAGTTGTCTCCAATACAATAATTCTCCAATATGGTCAATGTTCTCACAGGTCCTGTAGTTACCTGTGCGGGTTTGGCAAGGTCTCTTGTTTGACTCAGTTGCATCCCATTCCTTTTTCGTTGACTAGTCTTTTCTTTAAAGCGCCCAGTTGAACTTGGTTTCCCATGTACAAATCTATCTCTAATCCTAGAGATGCCTATTTCTTTCCAGCCTTCAAATTGTGCATATTCCTCTTGAGATTTCAATTCAGGATGCGCTGAAAAGGGATGGAGTGGAGATGTAGGTGGTGCCAGAGTTTTCATATATGTATGCCCTGTTGGTATAGTTTTCTTGAAAAAAGGGTTTGAATTGTTCTGTAGGCTCCAACGATTTGGGTATGTCTAACTAAGAATTAACCATACGGTCTCCCTGTACTCCCTCCATTTGTATTCAGTCAGGGATCTTGTCCACTTGTATAAGCTTGACAGTTCAGGTCATTTGGAAGGCTTCCTTTTATTCTATGTGGGATTGCTGACCTTGTTAGCAGTGGCATCCTTTGTGGCAACTTGCCCGGGGTAAAGAAGTGTAGGAAAGATTCTCCAGACATTTTCTTTATTGGCCTGCTATGCCACTGTTTCCCGACGGACTCAAAGTGGCTTCCATCACTATCTTATCACCGCAACGAATGCCCTGTGAGGTAGGCTGGAGAGTCACCCAGTCGGCCCCACAGCTGAGTGGGAACTAGAAGCTGCATCCCCAGTGTCCCAGTCCTGCGCTCTTAAGCACTACTCCACACTGGCACTGAGTTTTGGCAAGTGAGCGGTATAACACTTTATTACAATACCAACCAGCCAAATCGATAATAAGGGTACCACAAGCATACAGAGTTTCGCATTGTTCTTTAAATGAATACGGAGGCAAATGATTTTATCAGAAATAAATCAATATTTATTTCATTGTATGAAAAAATATAGTATTTTATTCTTGCTTGTAGTCTTCAGCCGTGCCGGCTGATGGAATGGATCCGCACACTTCAGCCAGACCTGGGGCCAGAGTTAGGATTCTGCCAGTCGCCGTCCTCGCAGGGCTGGATTTCCCCTGTCGCTGCTTCTGCTGCCTCCTCTGCGGGTACTTTTTGGAGGGTGCTTTCCCCAGGGCATCACATGGAGAGCTTCTCCTCCGTGGCGTCTCCTTCTCTGCGTCTCTCTTCCACACTTTGCTCTTCCTTCACCTTCCCGGATTTTGCTCAGGTCCCACACTTGGCAACAATTGCCAAGCCTTCCCATCCACAGGTGAGCTCAGCTCCTGAGAGGGCTGGACCCTCCGAATGATGGCTGCAGTCTGAGCACGGCCTCTGAAACTCCTGCCTTTTATGAGGGCCGGTTTTTGACCCGCGATGAGAGACAGCTTTGTGAGCACACAGGGAGTTGGAGGGTGCCGGACTTCCTGCTTTATGACACGAAAGTCCTGATCCCCACTGGGCCCCACGGGGGATGGCAGGCCAAACCCTTTGATTGACCATGTATGGCTGATTGGTGCCCAGAGCATTTGCAGGCAAACTTCTGTGGCTTTAAGCCTGCTTCTCTGTGCTAACATTTGCATTGCTGCAAGGTTTGATTTAGGGCTTGATTCATATTTTTACTGTGACTTTAAGCTTCCATGTTGCATTCCATCTATTGCACCGTACGGCTTTCATTGTTGTGAACCGTCTCAAGAGCTTTTCGGGGAGTAGAAACACAATGGATAGAGTGTCCTGGAATAATAATAGTGTCCTTCTCTTCCACCTAAGCTCCGCCAAAGGCAGGCCGATGTCTGAATTTAACAACTCATCAACAGCTTCTCAAATGTACACCATCCATAGGATCCTCCCCATTCAGGGAAGGAGCGTGTTGCATCTCAGCAGTGGGTTTTTACCCTGAAACTGCAGCTCCTGGAAGAAGGATAATGACAGCTACTGAAGCCAAACGCAGGAGGGACCAGAGTGACTTTCAAGCATAGCCACAGCCAATGTGTTCTTAAAAAATGGAAAGACTACTAAAAGCCCAAAGAGAAAACATGCCTAGGATCCCCCAGACACCCTTTTTTAATCATTTCCTTTTTTAAAAATTGATAATCCTGAACAAGAACAAAAGCATACAATCATATTACAGCATGTACATTTTCTATATAACAGTAACAATTTACATCTCCATTCCAAGTCTATTCCACAAGTCGATACAAACATTATGTACGGACATGTGTGTCTGTGTGTGTGTGTAGAGAGAGAGTGTGACATGATAAACCCAGACAACATAGTATTGCATTCTCCAGCATCTTTATCTCAATATTTGATTCCATATTCAGGGTCAGTAAGGGGTGCCAAAGTTTAATGAAATTATCCATTTTCATTTCCCCTCTCAGGATTCTAGCCGGTCTAGTCAATTTCTCCATTACTGCAATTTCCCATGGCCTTTCTAAATATCTTTGAAATGAGAGCCCCTTAACATCTTTCCAATTATGCCCAATTTCTAATCTCGCTCTTCCCATAGGGCTCTCATCTGCGCTGGATTATTTTAATTCTCATTCCCATCCACAAAGAGGGAGAATGATAGGAGAGTTGCATTAGAAATCTCTTTGATTTTTTCTTTCTGGATGCGTTAACTTTTGTAACCATTTATAGTCTCTTTCCAGAATAATTCCACTTTTGGACAAGGTATCCACCTATGCTCAAGCAAGCCCTTTACCCCACAGTTTGGCCAACACATGTCTGATACTTCCTTCTGTATTGTATGAAGTTTTGTGGGGAATAAGAGCCATCTCTGAATTCTCTTCAATTCCATTTCCTCAGATTTGCCAATACTGATTCGTATAAGAGAGGTCCGCCTGGCGCCGTCGTTATTTGTTTTTCGGCGCCAGGCTAAGACCTTTTTATTTAAGCAACATTTTAAATGCTAAATACAATTGAATTTTATCTGGCCAGGGCGGCTTATTTTATAATGTGTGTTTTAATTAAGATTATTTTATATGGATATTTTAACTTATTGTTTTATCTATGTTGTAAGCCGCCCCGAGGCTTCAGCAAATGGGGCGGCATAAAAATGTTTTAATAAATAAATAAATAAATAAATATAATGGAGTGTTCCATATTCCTCTCCACATGTTTTCGGATGTTTTAACATTTAAATTCATCCACCATATTGTTTTTCTTCCTATGTCTCCTTCTCCTCCACCTAAGCTCCGCCAATGGCATGGTAATGTCTGAATTTAACAACTCATCAACAGCTTCTCAAACGTACAACATCCATAGGATCCTCCCCAGTTCAGAGAAGGGGCGTGTTGCATCTCAGCAATGGGTTTTTACCCTGAAACTGCAGCTCCTGGAAGAAGGATAATGGCAGCTACTGAAGCCAAACGTAGGAGGGACCAGAGTGACTTTCAAGCATAGCCATAGCCAACGTATTCTTTAAAAAATGGAAAGACTACTAAAAGCCCAGAGACAAAACAAGTGCCTATTTGTAATTGGTTTCCTATGTACAAATACATCTCTAATTCTATAGATGCTTATCTCTTTCCAACCTCTATATTGTGCATATTCTTCTTGAGATTTCAATTTAGGCTCTTCTGACAAGGGATGGAATGGAGATATATGTGGTTCCAGAGTTTTCATATATTTACGCCATATTCATATGGTTTCCTTGATAAAAGTGTTTGAATTGTTCTTTAGGCTCCAACAATTTGGGTATGTCTGCATAAGAATTAATCATACGGTCTCCCTGTACTCCCTTTTTTTGAATTCATTCGGGGATCTTGGTTGCTTGTACAAGTTTCACAGTTTCGTACATTTGGAAGTCTTCCTACGATTTTATTATATGTGGGATTGCCTGCATGAGCGTGATCATGTCTGCACCCCGCCCCCCTCACCAGCAGGATTGCGGACATTGTAGCTATGTCCATTGAATATGGCCATGCTCTTCCCCACCTCATCTTGGGCTTCTGCTGCAGCCCAAGCGAGCAGAACAAACATTTTTTAATTTTTAATGATTTTTGAAATTTTAGTTAATTAAATTGTGTTATTTTTAAATTTAAATTAATTTTTAATGTGCAGTGTGCATAGGAATTTGTTCATATGTTTTTCAAGCTTTAGTCCAGCCCCCCAACAGTCTGAGGGAAAGTGAACTGGCCCCCTGTTAAAGTTTGAGGACCCTTGGTGTACGCAATGCATGCTTTTGACGTAAACAGCAAAGGGTGTATAAGGTGGATACGGAGCCAGACCCTTGTTCGCATTTCTTGGACAAGCAGTTTGTCATCAAGTGCCTGCTAGCGTTGGAAGGCACTCCATAGGTTAACAAATCCCCTTGTAAGCCGACCTGGAGCTTGCATATGTTTTATGCAACCATTCAGCCCTCTGCAGGGGGCTACACTTAGGCAAATATACAGCTTTTCTCCTATATGGGCTCTCCTACATCTAACAAGGTTTAGCACAGGCTCTGCATGGATTTACTTTTTTTCCAGTGTAAGTTTTCTCTTTCTCTCTGAATCTTTCAGTATATGACTCTTTTCATATACCGAGCATGAATATGAAGATTCTCTTGGATGAATTCCTTCGTTGTAAGAAGGATTAATTTGTGGCTAAGGTGTTCACCGTAGTTTGAGCCCGCCCGTCCCTCTCTCTCTCGACCCCACGATGTTGGATTGCAGCCCTAGCAATCGCTCTGTTCCGAGTACTAGGTCCTTGCTAGTCTTAGCTCAGGTTTCCCACCCGGACACTAAAATGTAGGACACCAAAGTGAAGCCACATCCGCCCTCATTGGTGTGCGCCGTTTTCCTCCTTTCCTCATAGAAATCGCCGTCAGCCACGCAGAACTGAGCCAGTTTCGGTGTTGGGCGGATGTTAAGGTAGCGATGCTGGAGAAGGAGAGGTGGGATTTGGGGGTGCGTAAAAAAAGGGAGGCGCTGGGACGGCTGGGCTGAGATGAGCCAGCAAGTAAGGAAGGAGATGCGAAATGATCAAACTGGAGTGCTAGAAAACGGAGAATTCCTGGATCCAGGGTCACGCGCGGACGGGTGTTGAAGGGAAGGAATTAGCGGAGAACAGAGAAGGCACCCGGCGAATCAATGTGTTCATAACACCCCCCCCATCTTTTTAGAGGTTACAGAGGAGAGGGGGCACTTTTGGCTAAAAATGGCCGTTTGTTAGTGGATGTTGGAGGTCAATATGGTGGGACTGGGACTCAGACGATCTGGGTTCAAGTTCCCAGTCAACCATAGAGTCCACTGGGTGACTTTGGGCCTGTCACAGATGCTCAGCCCATCCTACCTCACAGGGTTGTTGTTATGGGGATAAGGTTGAGGGGGGGAGGTGAATTATGTATGCCACTTTGAGTTTGATGTAAGCAAAAAGTAGGATATAAATCTACCTGTTAACTCTCACCCTGTAATCTGGGCACTCTGGAGAAGGAGAGCCAACCAAAAAAAGGCAAGACTATCAGGAGTTATATATGACCATCTGCAGCATAGCTGCTTCTGGGGAGTGTGAGTTTGCCCTCATATCCTCCCTGTGGCCTTCCCCCTGGGGCAACTGCTTGGCTGCTGGGCTAGAGAGGCCCTGGTGGGGTCCAGCACTGTAGCTCTCAAGTCCTTCAAAGAGGCAAAGGGGGAAAATGGCAGTGGGGTTCTTGGCATAGGAAAAGATGAGCAAAGCCATGATAGGCTGCCAAGGGCTCAGACTGTTCAGAGCTTGTGGAGAAAAAGTGGTACTGATCCTGTATCTTCCCATTACCCCCATCTATCAAGACTCTGCAGGTAACTGCCTTCCAGCTGCATATCCATTCCCATGGCATCAGGGTATCAGCATCGCCTGTGGCGCTATGTAGATTCCGGCCGCCGTCGCAAGCTGCGTAAACTTTTGCAGCGTCACAGGAAAGTGCTGGACCTGAGCGAGCCTGCGGGGCGTAAGGGCCGAACCCCGCTGCACCGATCCTGTGCCCGGCAGGACCTCAGAACTGCCATCCTCTTGCTGAAATATGGAGCAGATCCCTCCGTCCTGGACCAGCGTGGGGACACCGCTCTGCACGTCGCTGCCCGGCAGGTGGCACGCAAGGGAGGCACTGGTGAGGCACCGGCTGTAAGTAGGTCTTTTGCCAAAGGACAGACGGGAGGCTGGTGACTTCTAGACTTCGCATTTACTTTGAGCTTCATAGGAGCTACAGGTAGGAGTGTGGTGTCGTGGTTGAGAGTTTGGGCCTGGAACTCAGGCAGTGTGGGCTCGAGTTCCCACTCAGCCATGGAGCTCATTGGATGACTTTGAGCCAGTCACAGACTCTCAGTCCAATCGACCTCACATGGTAAGGATAGGATTGAGAGGAGGAGGAGAGCTGTGCACACCACCTTTGTTTGCTTGGGAAAATGGTGGGATATAAATATAATGCTAACGGGAGGCTTCTAAACAAATCAAATAAATTAATAATAATAAAAATATTCATGGTCCTCCATGGTGGTGAACCCATTTTTCACTACCACAGATAGCTCCTATAAAACTCCAAATAAAAGCTTCAAAGGATCGGGAGCCCCACTGAAATAGGCAGTCACCAGCCCCCTGCAGCCAGACATACTAACTGCCCAAAGTTCTCTGGAAATGGAGGTCTGTGACCATTTGCAGTGGGCTGGAGGAGACAGAGCAGAAACCAGGAGGAGAGCCTGCCTGCCTGCCTGCCAGCAGCAGCCGCAGCAGCACCGTCCCGGGCCTCACTGTGGTTTGCTGACATGCCCCTCGTGTGGAGATGGCTTGGGTGGGCTTGGGCCCCCTTGGCTCTCCTAAGCCCCGGCAGATCCAGGCACTACTGGGGCAAGGCACCTTGGAGGAGCTTGTTTCTAGCCCAGGAATGCGAAGGCCACCCCGGAGCTCACTGCAAGGCTTAGAAAAGGATGACTGGGGGCTTGCATCCTTCCAGCCTAGAACATCTCCGACAGCTGGCATTTGGGGGCTTCCTTCATATTCCTATCAGCTCCAGTCAGTATGGCTGAGAAGCAGGACTGCTGGGACGTGTAGTCCAAAAACATCTGGAGACCACCAGGTTGGGAAGGCTGCTCTGTGTGCCCAACCAGGCTGCTATGGCCTTCCTTTCTAGCCCCTAATCCCAAGGACTCCAGTTCCCCTTCATTGCGCAGCTGCCTTCTTCCATCTTAGCAGGAGCACCAGGAGAAGAGCCCTAAGCCCTTCCACTGACCCGCAACAGACCCTCAGGGGATGCTGCCTCCTTCTGCATCTCAAGCTTTCTCTTCCAGAAGCAGGCACACGTTGTAAAGGAAGTAGGGCCTGGTGGAACGAGCTGCACACCAAGGGGCAGGCGCTTGCTTTCCTCACTGCAGTATGTGCAACAGTCCCGGGAGGGTGGTGGGGCCTGGGCTTTGTGCTGCATGGTGCTCAGTGGCTACCCAGCAGCTCCGGCTGCTAGCCTCACTCTCTTCTCCTCCACACAGTGTATGAAGACCTCTTTGTGCCCCTACGGTGTCGCTGCCCTGCCGCCATGAACATCCGGAACCGAGATGGACGAACGCCGGGAGACCTCCTGGGACAGTCCGAAGAGAAATGGGTATCCACATGGCTCAGAGGAGAAGGGTATTGCTGGGCGGGGGGTGGGGGGTGTTCTTTCCTCTGCCTTTTGAGCCTGACACCCTCTGACCCTCTGTAGTGCCCTCAGGAGGCAGTTGAGAACGGTGAGGCAAAACGCAAGGCGGATGCGGAGTGGAGCTGCAAACTTCTAGGTGAATGGGAGGATGAATACCGGGAGACCTGCTGGCAGTATGAAGGTGAGCCTTTCTCAGAAACGAGGTTCTCAAGATGTGTGGTCAGGTGGGCCTCCTTCTGGAGCTGTGTGCTGTTACAGGGGAGACACTGAATTCCTGCCTGACGTCTCCAGTCTGGAGTGCTTTCTCTTCCCTGTTGAGCTAAGCTGAGTACTGTGGGATCACATCCGTAAAGATGTCTCTGCAGCTGGATGTTATTCATGGGCCTGCTGGATCATTTTCTTCTGGACCAGAAAGGAAGTGCTTCCCCAGATCAGATCAGCTCAGCCAGTGAGCCTGGCAGGTTTTTTCCTTTCCACAGAAAGGGGCTTGGCTCACTTGTCTGAACCTGGGTAGCTTTTGTTTTTCTTGCAGGTGCCTTCTTTGCTTACACACAGCTCTGCCCCACAGGGAAAAAGGCACATGGTATCATGAGGGAGATGAGAAATGATCGCTCATCAAGCCCGAATTCTAATTTCCCTTTTCATATCCCTCTTTCCTCTTCCCCTTCCCAGAGGATTTCTATGCCACTGATCCAGAGCCAGAAAACTATGAGGATTGGGCTGACCGCATATTTCGGGAATACAGGCAAAAACAACAGCAAGAAAGGGAGCGGTATCAGCGGAAGCCTAAAACTACACCTCCAAAGCCTTCCCCTGGGCTGCAGCAGCTCCTGGAGGAAGAACACCTGCTTTATGAGAAGCGTGCCCGAGCCAAAGACGAAGAGCTGAAGGAGGCCAAGAAGCGGCGCTACCAGGAAAGCTGCAGCCGGGTCTTCTCCGCTGACAGTTCCCGGCTGCTGTACTATGCGGATATTCCCTGGCCTTGTGCCACCGGGACAGCAGAGGAGATGGCTGCTGTGGCGCTGCACGGCACGGGCTGCTCTGACGGGGCGGCCTATCGGCGCCTCCTCCGGCGCCAGCAGGTTTTGTGGCACCCGGACAAGTTTGCCCAACGTTGCGGCTCACGCCTAGCGGAGCAGGATCGCCGCCGGATCTTGGACACGGTTACAGCATTGTCCCAAGCATTCAACCGGCTAGCAGAAGCTGCCAAATGATTCTTTGCTGCCTGCTTGTGAATAAAACTTCATTTTTGAAGAGTGCTGGGCAAGGGAGTTTTGGGCTGGAGAAAATGTATTTCCTATAAGTCTTTTTTCCTCTTTCCTAAGAAATGTAGAGACAGACAGTGTGAGTGGCTTAACTAGGCTTTTGGTTTCAAAAAGGACCTTCCTCTAAGATACCAGCTGATGCCACAAAGATTTGTGTATTTATTTTTGCCCTGCCTTTCCATGTAAAAGATTGGCATTTTACAGATTAAGATGGAAATGCTAAACACATTTACAAGGGAATGAGAATTGCTGAATAGAGTGGGACTTACTTCTGAGTAGATGACAAAGGTGTGTCATGTAAACACCTGTAATTATGAAGGAGGATGTGTCTGTACATCTGTCCATCCATCAGTCCGGTAGCAGCAAGACTCTGAAACTCGGTGTGCAGACTAAGGGGGCATGGAGGGCAGGGTGCACTTTGGGGCCATTTTGCTTTTTAAAATGCATTTCGGGAAGTTCCCGAGTTACGAATGTCTGAGTTATACTTACTAACAACTACTCATACTTACTAACAAACTGCCCTAAAGCCTATTAATTTTTCTAAACAATTCTGTGGAAAATTGTCACCATAGAGAGACGAAGCAAGGGGGAGCGAGGGAAGGCCTCCAAAGCATCACCATAGAGAATGAGGAAGAGCAGGGGTAGAGGGGGAGGCCTCCAAAGCATGCCTGCCTGCCCCACTCATCCAGAGAGGGAAATCTCTCCAGCATTTCCTTGCTGCAAAAAGGAGGCGCTGGTGCATTTGGATTGGGGGGGGGGAGAGATATTCCTGTTTTTTCCACATTCACGGAGTCTTGTGCCCTAACCCCTGCGAATGTGAAGGGCCAACTGTGCGTCATCTGATTTGCATACAAATTTGGCTTAAACATCAATTTTCTTTTTCTCAGGAACAGAACTCGTTTGTAACCCAGGGACTGCCTCTAATTAAAGGTGCCCACGTGGTTGTTACCTCTTCAGCCACTAGGGGCAGACTTCTCAAAGCAGCACATTACCTCTCTTGCCATACAGTTTGAAGCCGGGGGAGATCACCAGGCGGAAGGAGAGAGATTTAGGCTTGCTCCCCCATCGCTGCTGTGAGGCAGCCCTCCTTCAGGGGAGTAGAGTAGACAGAGCCTTTTCTCAGGGAAACAGGGATGCAGCATGGCAGTGCCATACCCAGGGGTGCCAGAGTGCCTGGTTTTGCACAGTGTGGACCTTTGGATGCTTGGGTCCTAAGCAGTACAGAGCAGAGCAGATTGCTGATGTTTTGGTTCTTGCTGCGGGAGGGACTCTCAGAAAAACTCCCGTGTCTGAAACTCTCACACGACCGATCACACATTTCAGAATTGCAGTGTTGCTCCTCACCCATCCCTAAAAGAGGGTGGCCAACATGCAGAGCCTGCAACAGAACGTTGCAGCATGGGCTGCTCCGGTTGGGGGTTCCTGCCAGGCAAGTCATCCCTGTGGACACGGCGTTTCATGCCATCTCACACCCAACAGTCTACCAGCATTACAGGCCTGTTGCATATGCCCAGTTCTCACTGAGCTCCAATTTTTCCAACCCTTCATTTCCACGTATGCCCACCCCCAAAATTCTGCCAAACTTGGGTTTCCCCAATGTCTGTATCTGAGGAGGGGTTCTGCCATTCCGTAAGGATCCACCCTTGGTGCTTGTGTTTCTCACTAGTACACACTGCATACCAATTTTCCCCATCCTGGGGCCCTGCAGCCAAGTGTGCTTTTTTGCCTTTCCAACGTATATAATTTGCCTGTCTGTTGCCTTGGCAGTTACATCTGCCAGATAGTGACAGGGAGAGACTCTGTATAGGCTACACTGAACAGCTGATATTTGTCAAATGCCTCTGCATCAGTTGAAATACAATAGCAAACAGAAAAAATGACTAAAGCGAGTGTACACAAGAGAAATGCAGTCACCTGTGTTTTAAGTATTGAATCAATGCTTTCCAGTGATTTTTTTTTTATTTATATCCTGCCTTTTTCCTACAAAGGGCTCAAGGCAGCTTACATTATCTCTCCTCCTCCATCTTATCCCCACAACAACAACCCTGTGAGGTAGGTTGGGCTGAGAGACTGTGACTGGCCCAAAGTCACCCAGTTGGCTCCATGGCCGAGCGGGGACTCAAACCCAGATCCTCTGAGTCCCAGTCCCATGCTCTTAACCACTACACCACACTGGCTCTCACCTTTGGGGCACTTTAGGTCTGTAGCTAGTCCAGAGAGAGATCTTAAGGCCAGCCCCTTGTGTAGCTCCCTTTCAGAGCACCTCCTGCAGTTTATTGGCAGGTGCCAACAAGCTCTGAGCAAGCCTGCTGGAGAGGGTTGGGTTTAGGGGGTGAATGCAGCCCCACTCTGGGGCACCCCATTGACTCCGTCCCACACTACAAGCACAGTCAAGGAAGCTATTAGGGCAGGGGTCTCAAACTCAACTTACCCGGGAGCCGCTGGAAGTAGAGTCTGGGTGAGGCTGGGCCGCATCAAGTATTCCACCACCGCACTGGTGGTGGGCTGCTCATCCCGCGTCGCTCCCGGAGGCCAGCCCGGGCGCCGCCGGCGCTTTGAAGGCCGCAGGCCCCTCCCTCGTGCCCTGCCCATCCCAGCAATTGGCCCACGGGCCACAAGTTTGAGACCCCTGTATTAGGGGGAAAAAAACCTTCCTCCAAGAAATGGATACCTTGCCAAAATCAGGAAAACGAAAGGGAGAAGCACAAGTTTGCACAAGCGAAATGCAAGTGGACAATAAGAAAAAGGAAACAATTTGAGAACCCTGGGTTCTCTCACGAAGCTGATTTTATCTGGTTTAGGACAGGTAAAAGGAAATACGTCTTCACACAGTGCCTGTTTGTTACAAGACTCTCTTCAAAAGTGTAACAACTGCCATTGAAAAAGGTAGAACACTTTATCCCTTATGCAAATTCCATACTATGTATATTAGTAGTTGTTGCCAGCAGCCTCTTAGCTTCAGGCCCTACCAGTGACCTCTCTGCTGAGGGAGAGTAAAATGAAATAAAAGCTTCCTTTTTGAAACCTTTAAACTTTCTTTTTTTTCCACTGAAGAGATTGAAACACTAAATCTGGGGCAAATATAAATAATCTGGTCAGTAGGCATAATATGGGTGTGCTTTTATTGCTGTTGTGATATGACTAAGTGTTTAATATTGTATTTTAATGATCCGTATAGTATTTTATAGGGACTGCAGGTGGTGCAGTGGTTTAAACCACTGTGCTGCTGGGCTGGTTGATCGAAAGGTCACCGGTTCGAATCTGCACAACGGGGTGAGTTTCCGTTGCTCCGTCCCAGCTCCTGCCAAAGCATGCAAATGTAGGTAGATAAAAAGGTACCCCTTCGGTGGGCAGGTAACAGCGTTCCGTGCACTTCGGTGTTTAGTCATGCCAGCCACATGACCACGGAGACCGTCTGCGGACAAACGCTGGCTCCCTCGGCTAGGAAGCGGAGATGAGCGCCGCCCCTAGAGTCAGGCATGACTGGACTTAATGTCAAGGGGAAACCTTTACCTTTACTATAGTATTTTATATGGTTTTATTGTCTGTAACCTGCCCAGGGGGCTGTGTGGCTAATTGGACAGGCCAAACATCAAATAAATAAATACTTAAACTATGGAACTCATTGCCACAGTAAGCCATGATGGCCACCAAGTCGGATGGGATTAAAAGGGGATTGGAGAGATTCCTGTGGGAGGAGCCTATTGGTAGCTCCTAGCCTTGCTGGCTGCGTGCTCCCTCCTTGAGCAGAGGTGGGATCCCTGCAGGCCCAGTGGCTGAGGAGCTGGGCAGGAGGAGGTCTCGCCCCCTCCTGCTTGAGGGGTCCTGGTGGCAGCTGGTTTGCCACCATGTGTGTAGAGTGCTGGACTGGATGTACTGTTGGTTGGATCCAGCATGGGTTTTCTCATGTGATTAAGGTCTTCCCTAGGAGGGAGGGAGGCAGTGAAGCGCTTTGGTGCCATAGGAGTTTGAAATTTTCTCTTTTGCAGCAACAACTGTTGTTATTTAAAAACACTTTCTTAAAAGGGGTGGAGTGGAGGGAAGGGAGTTTGAGGATGTTATCTAGAGGAAGTGATTGGAGCCAGAAGCAGGCTTAGAGGGGGCCCAAAAGAAGCAGTGTGAGGGAAATCCAAAGAAATCTTTATACAAAAAGGTTGCTTATATGTGCCTTTGTGATATAAAATCAGACCTGCAGTGTCCCTGCTCCTTTTGCCCAGAAAGAACCAGAATTCCAAGCCAGGCTGTTTTTTTCTTTGAAGTTTACCATCTGTCCCTTTAAGAGACTGAGACTCTCGACAGACTGACTTTGTCACTGAAGGAGAAAGAAGATACAGACTTCTATCAAACTTGGGACTTTTTTTATTATTGGCTAGAGAAACAGGGCTTTACATAGATTTAAATATGTTTATAATTTAACATAAAAAGAAAAAATGTGGGGGGCTGACCCAGTATGTCTGATGTTTCTGATGATTGATGTTTTTAGTTATTGTGTGTGTGTGTGTGTGTTAGGTTTATTTAGAATAAAACTTATTCAAAGAGAGAGAGAGAGAGAGAGAGAGAGAGAGACTCTCCACTCTCCTGAGGCAGCTGCTACAGTTAGTTGCAAAGTTAATCCTCTGCAGAATGTGGCTCCCAAGGAAAGTTAATTATGTCCATTCTTCTGCTAGCAATGGCAAAGCTGCTCTGACTGGTTTTTCTTGACATGTAATCAGAGTTGCCTGCACGTTCAAGCTCACACCCAAGACCGGCAATGATTCATGTGCCCTTCTGATTGTCATGACAACATCCTGTAATCACCAATATTTGCTGCACTATTGTGTTATGTCCCCTCTGCAGATTTCTCATATTGTTTTCACTATGAATACATTATGTACCCATTATTTGCTCATCATCAACCCTGTTCCCGCATGCGTGACTCAAAACCTATAAAACACTCTGTATATGTTCTGGAATTTTGTAGTTGGTGGGTGTACCTCCGTCTGGCAGTGC